GGGTGTCCCGTCGGCGTGCAGGGGTGAACTGGTCGACCCCTGCATCCTGTAGGTCAGCACCCGCCACCAAGTTCATAGAGAACGAGGGGAGGTAGAGACCGGACAGGGCGCCAGACGGGACCGCAGGGCACGGCAGGACAGTGGAGTAGCGAGCCAGAACAGGACCCCCAGAGGGGTCCGCCAGGGAGACCGCCACTGGCCGACTAAGCGGCGTGAGTGTGGTGCGGTCTCGAAAGAAGGAGCGAGACGCCCCTGAGTCAAGAGTGAAGGTGAGAGAGGGCGGAGCCGACGCAGTACCTGAGAGAGCAGACTCACCAGCACCTGAGGACACAGACTCACTGGCACCTAGAGCGACAGCCTCACCAGCACTTGGAGCAGCAGCCTCAACAGCACCTAGAGCCGCAGTACCAATGCCCGGGTCGGGCGGGAAACACCGGTAACAGTCACCCTCCTCACTAATGGTCACAGCATACATGGCAGCAAGAATAGCATCAAAGTCAAGATCAAAGATAGCTACTCCTGCCCTAGCCAACTGATCCCAGCGGGGGATCTCAGAGGCGTCAGGAAACTGGCGGCGCCAAGCGTCAGTCAGGCGGCCGAAGCAGCGCTGGGCGGGGTGTGGACCACCACACGGCTCACCCGCACGGTCGCCCGTGCGCAAGACGTAGGTGCACGGACCAGTACCCCCACCCCTCTGACGTGCAGCGTACCACTCACGGAGCTGCTGCGGGGAGAGGGTCTCCTGACCACGCTGCTGCCGCTGCTGTTGGCGCTGACCGCCACCGGAGCCACTCCTCTGCGACGAGCCACGACCTCCTCCGCCGCCTCCTCCGCCGCCGCCGCCACCACCTCCGCTGCCACCGCCACTCCCACCGTCGCTGCCGCCACCGCCGCCTCCGCCTCCACTCCCACCACCACCGCCGCTGCCACCCCCGCCTCCACTGGCGCCGCTGACACCTCCACTCCCGACACCACTCCCGCTACCACCCCCACCTCCTCCGCTGCCTCCACTGTCGCTCCCACCGCCCCCGCCGCCTCCACCACCGCTCCTGCCCCCTTTGCCCTTGCTAGAGCGACGTCTCCCACTGGGGGCAGACGCCGCACCGACCGACTCAAAACCAACTAGGTCGGCCGTAGCAGCAGAGGCGACAGAGGGCAGGAGGGGGGAGGGGGAACACCCCTCAAAGATGGGGGTGCGCGGGTCACCACGAGAGGCCCCTACAGCGAGAATGCTCTTCTCGGCTGCTAGGAGGGACTTCTCGAGGAGGTTAACAGTGAGAGTGGTGGGGCAGACTGAGAGTAAGTCGTCCCTGACTCCGCGGAGGGAGTCAGGGAGGCGGGTGACAATGTAGTAGAGAGTGAAGTACTTGGGGGGGGGGTTCTTGGCGCAGAACTCAGTAGGAAGCGCAGCGCGGAAGCGAGCGTCACTAGTGCGCAGGTGGGTAATGAGGTCGGCGACTGTGGCAAAAGAAGCAAGGTCGGGAAAGAGGTACGGTAGCATGAGGCGGCTCAGTGCAGCAGTGGCAGGGGTGGAGTAGCGTGCAATAACGGCGTCGTACAAGGTCAGAGCACTCTTGTACGACCCAAAGTGTGCACGCTCAGAGGGAGGGAGGTGGCGACGCACAGCAAGACGTGCAGCAGCATCGCGTGTGGCCCACACTGAGCGAAAAGTGGCATCCTCAGTAGCAGCAGGGGCGGGAGAGGCACCAGAAGTGAGATCAAAGAGATAGGCCGTCAGCTCTGTCGCACTGTAGGAAAAGCACCAGGTCGTCTACCCACACGTCAAAGTCGATGACTCTGCCCTCAGCGTCGAAGGTGAGGACACTGGGGGTAGCCATGACAGCAGTGGGGTAAGGGCAGTGCGCAGAGTAAAGCTCAGTGCTCACCAGACAGGGCAGTGCAGGCGGCTCGGGCGGCTCGGGCGGCTCGGGCGGCTCGGGCGGCTCGGCGGGTCGGCTGCTGGGCGGCTCGGGCGGCTCGGGCGGCTCGGCGGCTCGGGCGGCTCGGGCGGCTCAGCTGCTGGGGCGGCTCGGCTGCTGGGGCGGCTCGGCTGCTGGGGCGGCTCGGTTGCTGGGGCGGCTCGGCTGCTGGGGCGGCTCGGTTGCTGGGGCGACTCGGCTGCTGGGGCGGCTCGGCTGCTGGTGCGGCGCAGTTGCTGGGGCGGCGGGGCCGGGAGATGCAGCTGCGGGGTCGTTAGGGGTAGTGGCGGGGCCGGTAGGTGAAGCGGCGGGGCCGTCAGGTACAGCAGCGGGGCTGGCAGGTGAGACGGCGGGGCCTGAAGATGCAGCAGCGGGGCCGTCAGGGGTAGCGGCGGGGCCGGTAGGTGCAGTGGCGGGGCCGTCAGAGGGGACGGCGGGGCCGTTAGGTGCAGCGGTGGGGCCGTCAGAGGGGACGGCGGGGCCGTCAAGTGCAGCGGCGGGGCCGTCTGAAGCAGCGGCGGGGCCGGCAGAGGGGACAGCGGGGCCGTCGGGTGCAGCGGCGGGGCCGGCAGAGGGGACGGCGGGGCCGGCAGAGGGGACGGCGGGGCCGTCAAGCGCAGCGGAGGGGCCGGTAGAGGGGACGGCAGGGCCGTCGCAGGCGATCGCGGGGCCGTCAGCGACGGCGCCGGCGTCGCGAGGGTCAGAGGGGGGGCGGCGCGCGACTGGAGGGCGGCACGCGCGACGCGGCGCGGCTGTCTAGGGGCGGCGCGACGAGGCTGCGTAGGTGGTGCGTTAGAATTTCGCGGGCGGCTCGACGCGATCGGGCCGCCAAAGGAAAAAAAAAAGGCCCAGCGCGACTCGGGCTAGGGCAGAGCGCGCTCCGGGCAGGACGGAATAGTAGGTGGGCCCTAGGAACAGTTCCCACTAGGGAACCTGCTCTGATACCATGTTGAGATAGAGGCGAGGAATGAGTGCACTATGAAATGAAACAAGTACAAGTACCAACCCTAATTGGGTTGTACCCCCTATGGGCTACCCCACTACAGTCTAAATATATGCATCAGTAATATAATCATCTGACATCCCCTCCTCTCCTCGGTTGTGAGTCTGGCAGTCTTCAGTGGTACTCTAGACACTCGCTTGCCCTTTGCGGCTGTCAACCCGCTAGTTCCCCGCCTTGCAACGCGGTCCACTTGATCCAACCCACTGGAATCGGATCGGGTCGGATCTCTCGTGAGTACTACTGGTAGTATGAGGCCTCGGAGTTACTGGGCGAAAGCATTGGTGAGAGAGCACGCGCCAGGAGTACCTAGGATGAAGAGAGGCCTCGACGATAACCACGCTGACCACCATAGTGAGGGTGCGGGTGCTACTGCCAGCAATGGTCGGCGACTTTTGAGTCGACTCAAGAGAGGCCGAGACGACAACCATGCTGAGGCTGACCACCGCAGCGACGGTACTACTGCCACTGCCAGCGATGCTTGGCGTCAGCGCAGGATTTTCTGTGCCTGTGCGTCAACTCCTGCTGCAACCAGCCCCGCAGCCACGCCAGCAGCAGCAGCCACTCCTGCGGCAACCAGCCCTGCAAAGTCGACTCAAAACATAATCAGTGCCTGTGCATCAACTCCTGCAGCAGCCAGCCCCACAGCCATGCCAGCAGGATCCAGTGTCAAGGCGAGAATGACTGCCGAAGTGGCCAACACGACAACCGCCGCTCAACAACACAACAAGGGACCCGAACGGGAGCCACCTTTTGTTGGGATCGCGCGGCCTATGCAAGAAACTGATGGTTTTGTGAAACGGCAGAGTTGTGCTGCAGTCACGTCGAATTGCAACGCACCGGGACCAAGTTGGGCGGATTACGTCCGGAGCAGGGAGAGGCTCGGAATCACTGTGCTGTCTGCCGAGCCTGTGCTTCAACCCCATTCTGGAGCGAAACGTTGCATCACAGCTCGCCGGAACATGTCTCAAGATCTCACAGCTCGCTATGGCCACAACAAAGCCGAAGTGGAGGAGTCAAGTTCTGAGGCGCCTCAAAGTAAGCCGCTGCTTCAAGTCGATGCCGGAGCAAATGGCTGTGTTGCACCTGGCTTTGGATACAGCAAGGCCGAACTGGCTTTTGAGGCGACTCAAAAATGTTGTGTTGCACCTGGCTATGAATGCAACAAAGCCGAACTGGTGGAGGGATGTGCAGGAGAGCTCATGCAGCAGCATGCACGCGAGCAAATGCAGCTAATGGAAGGACGGACACGCGTTGATAACCCTCCTTGTTCTCGAGTGGTCGTCCCTGACCTGAATCTACCTGCATGTGAGGATCCTGGTTTGCCAAGCTGCCAAATCGATTCTAGTAGAAGCGCTGACTTGGGCGAGCTGACTAAGAGTTGCCAGGTCGTTGGAAGATCACACGCAAGGAATTCTTCTTTAGACATCAGTCCCCCTCCTGGTATTTCTGGGGTACATGTAGCTGATTCTAGAAGCGCTGACTTGGGCGAGTTGAACTTGGGAAGTAGTCACAGGTGGAAGCAGCAGGAGCAGGAGCAGCAGAAGCAGCAGGAGCAGCAGGAGCAGCAGGAGCAGCAGCAGCAGCAGGAGCAGCAGGAGCAGCAGGAGCAGCAGCAGCAGCAGCAGCAGCATTAGCAGCAGCAGCAGCAGCAGGAGCAGCAGCAGCAGCAGGAGCAGCAGGAGCAACAGGAGCACGAGCAACAGGAGCAGGAGCAACAGGAGCAGGAGCAACAGGAGCAGGAGCAACAGGAGCAGGAGCAGCATCAGCAACCTCAGCAAGAACACAAACCACAGCATCCGTGCCATAGGTGTGCTGCTGAGAGTGCTGAGTTAGAGAGAAGGAAAATGCTGATACGAGAAATAAACCTGTACAGGGAAAGGAACCTTCGGCAAGCCTAGTAGAGCATGTACGGTATATGCAAGAATGCTTCAAATCTGCGGCTTGCTTCTAGTGTTTCTACGTGTTTCTTGTTGTAGCCTTGCATTGCAGTGTAACAGTGTTGCTTTTGACAAATAAACTTCTGTACAGATTGGAATCTGTGTGGGTTTGGCCACGTTTAGATTTGTTTTGTCAGCTTGCTATGTAGCCTGCTCCGCACAATGTAGGCGAAAAGGAGTTGGGCTGCGGCAGAAGGAAACAGGGGGAATGGGGCTGGGATATGTGATGAAAACACGGGGAGCTGGGCTGGGTGGGGGAGACAGGGAAGGGAAGTGGGGGAAGTGGGCAGGGAGAGGCTAGGGGAGTGGGTGGGGGTTGGGCTGGGAGAGGCTAGGGGAGTGGGTGGAGTGGGGCTGAAAGATGCGACAAATTTCTAATTCCCAAGCTATCAGGGTGTTTTACAACTCCTGAATCCTGATATGCACGGATGTTAGTTCACCTCACTTCAGAGCGTAGTATGACTGACCGGGTACAAATCTGACTCATGCGCTTCTGTCCAGGGCATGTCTGACTTGAGTTGGTTCAATGTGGTTCAGCATGGTGCGGCACGATTCACGAATGCGAGTGCCTGGACATGAGCCTGATAAGAGGGACGTGGTTCATAGGAACACACATACGGTACTGGAAGACCCTGACGGGAGGGGAGTGGAGGAGGGAGGAACGAGATTTGAGACGTCCCAGAACTCGCTGGGAGACGGGGCAGAATGAGGAAGAGTCACACGACGGCAGGAGGGAAAACAGGGAGTGAGAGAGATGAGGGAGATGGGGGCGAGGAGCGCGAGGAGCAAGATGAGGGAAGGGAGCAAGGAGAGGGAGTGGGACAGTGATACGGACAGATACAGAAAAATAGGAAATGAGCAGCAGGCAAGAAGGGAACAACACGATAGAGAAGGGGCAAATAAATGAGGGGTGGGGGCGAAGGATGGGGGGATGGTTCAAAATAGATGGTGGTGGAGAGAGAAGAGGGGGGGAAGGGGGGGGGAGGGGGGGGGAGGGGCTGGAGAGAGGGAGATGGATGGAGAGAGGAAGAGGGTTTCCCTGCCAGCGAAGAAACTTTTCATACATCACAACGCACCGAGGAACAGGATCAATAACACTAAAGTATTACACTGTTTGATGCGTCCAGGAGTACACACCACGAAGTACCGATTCCACTCTCATATTCCTACTCAAACAGTACGAACTGAATCAAGACCCAGAAATCACCTAAGAATGTGACGAAGATCCACTGTAACGCATTCGCACATCACTTCTGGTAACCGTCGCCAGGGCAGTCGTTCAAATGTCGCTCTTGCCCGTAAAAGTACCACTTCCCGGGGGTCGGCGGAGCGTACTCCGCGGAACCCCCCCCTGAGCTCCCTCCCGCCCCTGCAGCCTCCCCCGAAGCCTCCGCGCTCGCTCCGCCTCCGCGGATCCCCTCCATGATTTGCGCAACGGTCAGCTCTTCCTTCTTAGTCTCGAACACCGCGCGGCGCCGCTCGCGGTCGTGGTACTTAATGTTAAAGACGCGGTCGAGATCGCTCTGCGGAATCGACGCCTTGGCGGGCGGGTTGGTCGGCGCAAAGGGGCGGTACTCCCCCAGCACGGGGACGGACTCGCGGAACTCCGCGGACGCGGTAGGCCCCGTGTAGTTCCACGGCGGGCGCACGTACTTGGCGAGCGCCTGGCGCGCACGCGCGAGGAGGGAGGTGCCCGCGGGGGGAGCCATGGCGGAAGGGATCGGCGGAGAGGATCGGCCGAAGGCGGACCGCGGGAGGGCGATCTGTGTGTGAGATGTGAAGATTGAAACTAGTATCGGATGCGGAGAAATGCAAGGACGGAATGGGAATGGGATGGCGAGCGCGGTCGGCGGTGGGAGAGTGCGGGACAGCGAAGAGCGATCGGCGGCGGGATTGGCGGCAGGGGCTGGTGCGTCGGATGTTCCTGCTGCTCCCTACAACAACCTTCGCTGCTTCCAGAATTCTCGCTGCTGGCGTTTTCAACGAAACCCTAAAATGGTTTGCTTGATTGCTAGCTTGAAATTCGGTAACGGGGAAATCGCATTGAAGTGTATATTGACCTAAAATATATTTTATCGAAATACTCAAAGAAACTTATTGAGCATACCTTTTATAGAGAGATTGTGTCCTGTATACAACGAGAATATACCAGCTGAACTGTATTGCACTCTAGGTTTGTTATAACCTCACATTCAGCCAATTGCCTTCCCCCTTTTTGAATAAAGTTCGAGGTCCCTGAAAGCCCATGAATTATTTCACTGGATTCGCTCCCAAGACAGATACTCATTGCTTGCTAATCAGTCACCAAGCATACCCCTCTGTTCGAGCAATCAGCTGGTTCCGCGCTACTATAACTGAATAATCAGCTGGTTAATTCTGTAGGCTCAGAAAATTCAGCTGATAAACAAGTGGAGGTGTCGCTGCTGCAGCTGTTGTCATGGCGGCAATGCAACAAGCCGCGTCGCGAATGTCGTTCGTTCCGTCGTCGGGCTTCGACGCAGACCGATTAAGTTTCGGAGCGTCGCTAAGAGTAACCCCAGTTTCGCTAGGATCAAGGAGTAGCTCGCGCATTTCGTGTGTACCGTGCAGAACCGCTTATCTGCAGGCTCCTGCTCAATCTCCCTCCCCAATATTCTTCCAATCAGCTTCTGCCACGCAGGCGCGAGCAGTTCGTTCAAGAAACTCAGCTTCGTGTCCTTCTCTACGACCTGGTTCACACATTCCGCGTACAGTCACACCAGCGGGACAGGGGAGCGAGAATCTGCGTCACTCTCGTTATAGTATCATTGCCGCGGCTGCTGGCGCTGGATCGACGAAAGCTGCTGCGAAGGACGAGGGAGGGGAGGAGGAGTTGAAGCAGGCGCACAAACTGTTTGACCAGGTGAGACTGGCGTTGACTTCCGTTGACTTCTGAGACGTCTCGAACGGCTGCTGCGAAGGGCGAAGGAGGGGAGGAGGAGCTGAAACAGGCCCACAAACTGTTTGACCAGGTGAGATTGCCGTTGACTTCCGTTGACCTTTGTTGACTGGCGTGCGATAGTTTCGTTGTGGTGTATATTTCGCGGTCAACGGCGGGTGTTTAGTCAGGTGTCTTCATGGTGACTTTTGACCGTCAAACCCGCTTAGGGGTAAAACCCTTGTTTATATCCTAAACCTTCAACCCCGGAATGGAACCATGGACGGTTATAACGCGTACAGTGCCTTTCCTCCTTTCAAGTGGCGTTATTCGTGTAAACAGGCCAGCACTGGTACCGTTCTCCACCCCCCACAACCGTGGAAGGAGTAGTGGGGGTTGCACCCTGAATAGATGTGGGCAAGCTGGGTCAACGAGAGTCAAACCCTTGGTCAAACCCTTTCCCTGTCTGTCTTTGCCTTCCCGTCCTTTCAGGTGGTACTTTGTGTGAAAGTGGGGGATGGGGGCAACAGCGCGATGCTGCACCCTCCCTGACCGTAGAAGGCGGGGGAGACGCCTGGGCTGATCCTGTTCCCTTCTACCCATGTCCGTGCTCTTTTTTGTTTTTCCAGACTTCAGGTGGTCATCTTGAGACGTCTCAAAACACTTCTTTTTTTTCCAGACTTCAGGTGGTCATCTTTGTGAAAGCGGGCGACGGGGGGAACGGGGCGGTGCTGCACCCCCCACGGCCGTAGAAGGCGGGGGAGACGCCTGGGCTAATCCTGTTCCCCTGTATCCATGTCTGCTGTGATTGTCTCTTCTCCTGGCATTCAGGTGGTCATCTTTGTGAAAGCAGGCGACGGGGGGAACGGCGCAGTGCTGCACCCCCCACGGCCATGGAAGGCGGGGGAGACGCCTGGACTGAAGGGAGGGAAGCTCAACGCGAGGGAGGCGGAGGAACTGAGGAGGAAGCTTCGCAGGTGAGGGAGGGGAGTGATTGATTGAGGAGGCTGGGGGAGGGAGAGGAGAACTGCGGGAGAGTGGGGGAAGGGCATGTATGTTAATGGAAAGCCGGAGAGTGAAGATACATGGGGGGTGAGGAGAGGGAGAGAGAGGCGAGCACAATTCCCCCCTCCACACAGTAAGTGTGAGGAAAGAGGGGGAGTGTGCTATTCGCTGCAACCCCTTGTCCATCCCCACTCCCATCACCGTCTCCATTCAAAAGGGACACGATTTGGGCTGGCCATCGTGCCCATGGGGGGGCATGGGGGGGACATTGTGATTCACACAGACCCCTCCCTCTCCACGCTGCTGCCGCTGCCTCTGAAACCCCCCACGTGCAGGAAAGAAGCGGAGAAAGCCAAGGCTATGAAGTGGGTTTCACGTTGATCCCTCCCTCTCCACGCTGCTGCCGCTGCCTCTGAAACCCCCCACGTGCAGGAAAGAAGCGGAGAAAGCCAAGGCTATGAAGTGGGTTTCACGTTGATCCCTCCCTCTCCACGCTGCTGCCGCTGCCTCTGAAACCCCCCACGTGCAGGAAAGAAGCGGAGAAAGCCAAGGCTATGAAGTGGGTTTCACGTTGATCCCTCCCTCTCCACGCTGCTGCCGCTGCCTCTGAAACCCCCCACGTGCAGGAAAGAAGCGGAGAAATCCAAGGCTATGAAGTGGGTTTCACGTTGATCCCTCCCTCTCCACGCTGCTGCCACTGCACCGGGACCAAGTTTGTGGCCTCCTCTCTCTCCTTACCCTCTGCTCTCCCCCTCCAACCAACCGCAGGAAAGAGGCTGAAAAGGCCAAGGCAATGAAGAGGGTGGGCACGTTCAAGAGGGACGCGGATGGGCTGGCGATCGTGCCCATGGGAGGGCATGGGGGAGACATTGTGATTTATGCTGATCCCTCCCTCTCCACGCTGCTGCCGCTGCACCGCAAGAAGCGGCACGTGGCGAGGAGCGGAGGACACGTGGATGCCAAGGGGGGCCTGGCAAGGAGAGGGCCTGACGGATTGCAGGGGCCAGTGCTGCGGATAGGTGTCCCAGTAGGTAAGGCATGTGCCAGCGACAGACCCCTCTCTCTTGCGTGACGCGGAGTGGAGGACACGTGGATGCCAAGGGAGGCTGGCAAGGAAGGAGAGGGCCTGACGGATTGCAGGGGCCTGTGCTGCGGATAGACGTGCCTGTAGGTAAGTCTTGTTCTATTTAGCACACACCACTCTCGTGCCTGGAGGAGTGGAGTGGAGTGCACGACGACGCCAAGGGGGGGCAGGCAAGGAGAGGGCCTGACGGATTGCAGGGGCCTGTGCTGCGGATAGGCGTGCCAGTAGGTAAGAACCTTTCTCTCTCACCCTCTCCCTCACAAGCAGAGGGGTGGAGGGGTGGAGGGCACGGTACGGTGGTGAAGCGCAAGCGGGGAGGCAAGTTCCTGGCTAATGGTTGTTTTCCCCACTCATTTCCACCCCTTTTCACCCCTTTCCACCCCTTCTCACCTAACCCCTCCCCTTGCTGCACCCCCCCACCAGGCACAGTGGTGAAGCGCAAGCAGGGAGGCAAGTTCCTGGCTGATCAATCAAGCCTTTCCAATGCAAACGTCCACCCCCCTCCCAACCCCTCCCACCCCTGCCCATTCCTTTTCAACCCCTTCCACTCCTCCCTTTCTTCACATCCACCCACCAGGCACTGTGGTGAAGCGCAAGCCGGGAGGCAAGTTCCTGGCGGATCTGGCAAACCCTCCTTCCACTCCCTCCCACCACTTTCCACCCCTTTCAACCTCTCCACCAGGCACGGTGGTGAAGCGCAAGAGAGGAGGCAAGTTCCTGGCAGATCTGGCGAACCCGGGAGATGAAGTGGTGGTGGCGAGAGGAGGACGAGGAGGGGTGAGTTGAGTCTAGGTTAAAAAGTAGGAGCGGAGGGGGCCTGATTTGGGGAAGCAAGGGTTGGTCAGGGTGCTGTTTGTCCCTCCTCCACTCCTGGCTGATCTGGCGAATCCAGGAGATGAAGTGGTGGTGGCGAGAAGAGGACGAGGAGGGGTGAGTGAGTTAGGTCTAGGATCTAAACGGAGGGGGAGAGGGGGCTGAGTTGGGGAAGCAAGGTTGGTAAGGGTGCTGCTGTTTCCTCCTCCTTTCCTGGCAGATCTGGCAAACTCGGGAGATGAGCCAGATCTGCCAGGAAAGAGGAGGAAGAGGAGGGGACAGCAGGGGCAGTTGATTTCAAGGTTTTGTTTTTCGTCAGGGTTTTGGTGTGGGCGCTGTTTCTCCTTTTATCTTTCACGTATGATCTTCATTATGATCCCTCTTCGCCACTTCCCTCCCTCCCCCCTTCACCACCCATTCTTCCACACCTCACATCAGATCAGTGTGTTGTGTACGAGCTGCCGGCTTCCAACACGACCCACGTGCGCCCTGTGAAGGCACCTGCAGCGCAGGGACCAGCAGCAAGGACCAGATCAGTGCCCCTCTCCCCTTACCTTCCCCCTCAGATCAGCGTGTACGAGCTGCCGGATTCCAACAAGGCCCCACCTGCGCCCAGTGAAGGGCCTTGAGGCATGCACTAGCTGTAACCAGCAAAGACTGATTACTGCTTGTTCACGCAAAACACGCGCACATAATCCCGCGTCGCGTCTCTCCACTCCACTCCCATGCATCCCCTCAGATCAGTGTGTACGAGCTGCCTGCTTCCAACAAGGCCCACCTGCGCCCTGTGAAGGCACCATTGGGAACCACAGTCATGAGCGCACCAGAAGACAAGGTGAGGGGTGGGTGTGGGATAGGGGACATAGGGAACATAGGGGGGGATTGGTCAATAGGGACCTGCACCATTGGGACAAGGTGGGTAGAAAAGGGGGGATACGGTAAGGTGGGTGCAAGGTGGGGTATATTCACGACAGTTGGTGGGGGTTGAGAGGGTACGTGGTTGCCTGCTGCGTCCAACAAGGCCCACCTGCGCCCTGTGAAGGCACCATTGGGAGCCACAGGGATGAGCGCCCCAGAAGATAAGGTGAGGGGTAGGAGAGGGGGGGCGTATGGGTGACTTGGTGGGGAGGTGATGAGTTGCCTGCTGCGTCCAACAAGGCCCGCCTGCGCCCTGTGAAGGCACCAAGAGGTGAGGGACCACAGTGATGGGGCGCACGAGAAGACAAGGTGAGGGGTGGGATGGGGCGTATGGATGAGTTGAGTTGAGCGATGGGGGGTTGACAGGTATGTGGTTGCCTGCTGCGTCCAACAAGGCCCCCCTGCGGCCTGTGAAGGCACCACCGGGAACCACAGTGATGAGTGCTCCAGAGGATAAGGCGGAGGTCGGGGAGAAGGTGGGTGGTTGACACGTCACAGTATCAGCCAGTACTGTATATCAGTACCGTTTTAAAAAAAGGTATCAGGGAAAAATAAAAGGATAAGAAAAGAGAGTCGCTAGGAACGTGCTTCTCCTTTTCCTAGCACCAATTCCCCGCCTTTTCCTTCCGTTTGTTCCATACCCCAAACACTCACAGCAACTGACGTACTTTTGAGAAGCCCCGGCCTTTTCCGTCCGTTTCTTCCATCCCCCAAACACCAACAGCAACTGACGTACGGGTTGCAAGGCGAGGAGGCAGCGTTGGAGTTGACACTGCGAGTGGTGGCTGACGTGGGGCTCGTGGTGAGTTAAAAGGGCTTGGAAGAGGGGGGAAATGACCGTTGGGAGGAAGGGTGAAAGGAGGGGATGAGAAAAGAGGAGGGGTGGGGGCCTGAGGAGGCAGGGCAGCGTCACAGCTGACGCTGCGAGTGGTGGCCGATGTGGGGCTTGTGGTGAGTGCGGGAGGGGGAGTAGTATTGGGGCGCATGTGAAGGAGGGGTATAAGGAACGAGGTATGGGGGGGGCGAGGAGGCAGCATTGGAGCTGACGCTGCGAGTGGTGGCTGATGTGGGGCTTGTGGTGAGTGAGTGGGTAATGGAAAAGGGGGGAACTGCCGGGGAAAATGCGGGGATGAGAAAGGAAAGGAGGAGGTGAGGGGGACAGCTGGCGTTGGAGCTGACGCTGCGAGTGGTGGCTGATGTGGGGCTTGTGGTGAGAGGATGAGGGGAGGTAGCTGGGATGCAGGGTAAGGTAGCAGCATGGGGGAAAGGAGGATGTGTGAAATAGCAGATTACCCTTTCGCAACCCTGATGCTGCTGTCGGTATACCTCCTTCCCTAACCCATCCCTCCTCCCCCCCACCTCCCTCGGATCGCTCCTCCCCTCCCCCCCCTCCTATCAGAGCTTTCCTAATGCATGGAAATCGATGTTACTGGCAGGCAGGGCAGCGGTGAACGCAGCACACGCCAGTTTTTGAGCCGACTCAAAAAAGAAATCGATGTTACTGGCAGCGGTGACCGCAACACTTGCCGGGTTCCAGGCCTTCACACTCCCCATCCTTACCGCAACACTTGCCGGGTTCCAGGCCTTCACACTCCCCATCCTTACCGCAACACTTGCCGGGTTCCAGGCCTTCACACTCCCCATCCTTACCGCAACACTTGCCGGGTTCCAGGCCTTCACACTCCCCATCCTTACCGCAACACTTGCCGGGTTCCAGGCCTTCACACTCCCCATCCTTACCGCAACACTTGCCGGGTTCCAGGCCTTCACACTCCCCATCCTTACCGCAACACTTGCCGGGTTCCAGGCCTTCACACTCCCCATCCTTACCGCAACACTTGCCGGGTTCCAGGCCTTCACACTCCCCATCCTTTTCCTTGCAATACAACCTCAGGGCTTTCCCGATGCAGGGAAGTCGTCCCGGCTAGCAGCAGTAACCGTAGTGCGGCCGGAAATAGCAGACTACCCGTTCGCGACCCTCATGCTGCTGCTGCTATCCCCCCTCCTACCTTTGACTCCTGCTCCTCCTCCCGTCCCCTATCAGGGCTTCCCCAATGCAGGGAAATCGTCCCTGCTAGCAGCGGTAACCGCAGCACGGCCGGAAATAGCAGACTACCCGTTCACGACCCTCATGCCTAACCTGGGCCGCATGCCTGCCGACCCTGCTGGTCCGGATGGGGGGTTTGGCGACGGACCTACCCTGGCGGATCTGCCAGGGCTGATCGAAGGGGCGCATGTGGGGAAGGTGGGTACTGGGGAGGGGGGGGGGGGGGGGACTGGGATGTGGAAGGGAGTAGGTGGGAATGCGGGGTACACACTCTGTAGGGTTTGGTGACGGACCTACCCTGGCGGATCTGCCAGGGCTGATAGAAGGGGCGCACGTGGGGAAGGTGGGTACTGGGGGGGGGGGGGGGGGGGGTTTGATTGGATGTGGGGTAGGAAATGTATGAAGAAAAGGCACAAGGCTACGCTTCTTGAGACGGGCCAACTTTGGTGGATCTGCCAGGGCTGATTAACGGGGCGCATGCGGGGAAGGTGGGTACTGGGGAGGGGCGCTTGGGTGTGAGGTAAAGGACTGTTTCAGGGGAAGGTACAAGGTACACGATATGGGTGCTTTCAAGACGGGCCTAACCTGGTGGATCTGGGAAGAGAGACACGGGGGAGGGGGGGGGGAAAAGGGGGGGGATTGGGGTCATCATGGCCTGCATCGCAGCTTTTTGTAGCGATTGCCAGTCTTGCATGTCCTCCCATCCTCTTCCCTGTTGTAAATGTACATTATATACAACATTCATAGGCTAGAATAGGTGTAGTCCCTTATGTTCTTGGGGGGTTGGGTGTACACTCCACCAACCACACTTTGTGGTTGGTCAAGATTGGATTTGGTCTTGGTCCTTGGTTGGCACTTGCCAACTCTTGGTCCTAACACCAACCAATCACAACCTAGCTACATTGTAGGGTTTCCTACTCCACAAGGCACCTCACCCATTCATTGGTCAACTTAGTGGCCAATAGGGTTAGCTCCTCCTCCACTCCTCTCTTCCTTGCATGCTTGTACTATAGAGCCTCCTTGGCTCATTATTCAATCATTCTTGAATCCTATCATTCCCCTCTTTCTCATCAGGACCTGGGTCGCATGTTCCTGTGCCCCCTGCGCCACACCACACCCGAGTGCTGCTGCACCCCCAACCTCCCTTTCCCCGCCACCTCCCTTCCCTGCTAACCAACCGTCCCTCTCCGCTTCCAACCAACCGTCCCTCTCCGCCCAACCTTGCCTCTTCCTCCAATTGCATGTCTCGCTGCCACATCCCCATCAGGGTCTGGGTCGCATGTTCCTGCGCCACCTGCACCGCACCCGCGTGCTGCTGCACGTGCTCGATGCTTCTTGTAGAGAGGTGTATTTTTGAGACGTCTCAAAAATGCTGCTGCACGTGCTGGATGCTTCTTCCAACCCCCCTTCTCCCCTGTAACCTCCCATTTCCTTCCTGTCCTCTTCCCCCCTTTTCGTTATTACCAGGGCCTGGGCCGCATGTTCCTCCGCCACCTGCGCCGCACCCGCGTGTTGCTGCATGTGCTCGATGCCTCTGCGCCCGATCCCATACATGACTACGTGGTGTTGAGAGAGGTGGGGAGTGGTGTGGATGGTCATGGTAAGGGGTAGGCACTCTCGAGAGTGTTACTGCACGTGCTGGATACGCTGTCCCCGACCCTATTCATGACCATGTGGTGTTGAGAGAGGTTAGGAGTGGTTTCGATGGGTCATGGTATTGACCTGGATGAGGTGAGGTGAGGTGAGGTGAGGTGAGGTGAGTTGAGGTAGTCACTTACACCTGATAATATTATGCTGAGCCGCGCCTGATCTGTGTGCTGGTGAAGTTCATATGCCTCTACTCCTTCCTCTGCCTCTCTGCTTGCTTCTCCCTCTTTAACCCTCCTAGGTCAACGCATTCCCCTTCCTCGTCCCTTTCTCACCACTTTCTTCTTCCAAAACACCTCAACAAGACTCCCAACACCTTACTTTCCTAACCCCTTACTTTCCCAACCCCTTACTTTCCCAACCCCTTACTTTCCCAACCCCTTACTTTCCCAACTCCTTACTTTCCCTACCCCTTACTTTCCCAACCCCTTACTTTCCCAACCCCTTACTTTCCCAAACCCTTACTTTCCCAACCCCTTACTTTCCCAACCCCTTACTTTCCCAACCCCTTACTTTCCCAACCCCTTACTTTCCACCCCTACTTCCACCCTTACTTTCCCAACCCCTTACTTTCCCAACCCCTTACTTTCCCAACCCCTTACTTTCCCAACCCCTTACTTTCCCAACCCCTTACTTTCCCAACCCCTTACTTTCCCAACCCCTTACTTTCCCAACCCCTTACTTTCCCAACCCCTTACTTTCCCAACCCCTTACTTTCCCAACCCCTTACTCTCCCAACCCCTTACTCTCCCAACCCCTTACTTTCCCAACCCCTTACTTTCCCAACCCCTTACTTTCCCAACCCCTTACTTTCCCAACCCCTTACTTTCCCAACCCCTTACTTTCCCAACCCCTTACTTTCCCAACCCCTTACTTTCCCAACCCCTTACTTTCCCAACCCCTTACTTTCCCAACCCCTTACTTTCCCAACCCCTTACTTTCCCAACCCCTTACTTTCCCAACCCCTTACTTTCCCAACCCCTTACTTTCCCAACCCCTTACTTTCCCAACCCCTTACTTTCCCAACCCCTTACTTTCCCAACCCCTTACTTTCCCAACCCCTTACTTTCCCAACCCCTTACTTTCCCAACCCCTTACTTTCCCAACCCCTTACTTTCCCAACCCTTACTTCCAACCCCTTACTCTCCCAACCCCTTACTTTCCCAACCCCTTACTCTCCCAACCCCTTACTCTCCCAACCCCTTACTTTCCCAACCCCTTACTCTCCCAACCCCTTACTCTCCCAACCCCTTACTTTCCCAACCCCTTACTTTCCCAACCCCTTACTTTCCCAACCCCTTGCTTTCCCAACCCCTTACTTTCCCAACCCCTTGCTTTCCCAACCCCTTACTTTCCCAACCCCTTACTTTCCCAACCCTTTACTTTCCCAACCCCTTACTTTCCCAAACCCTTACTTTCCCAACCCCTTACTTTCCCAACCCCTTACTTTCCTAACCCCTTACTTTCCCAACCCCTTACTTTCCCAACCCCTTACTTTCCCAACCCCTTACTTTCCCAACCCCTTACTTTCCCAACCCCTTACTTTCCCAACCCCTTACTTTCCCAACCCCTTACTTTCCCAACCCCTTACTTTCCCAACCCCTTACTTTCCCAACCCCTTACTTTCCCAACCCCTTGTTTTTTTTTTCCAATGCCGATATCCTCCCGTCTCTTTTCCCAGGAATTGAGAATGTATAACCCAGAGTACACCTCCCGCCCCCACATTCTCGTGCTCAACAAGATAGACCTACCCATGGTGAGCCCTCCCCCTTGACCTTCCGCTGTCACCCATTAGACACTGGCTTATCCCATTCCATCGCCCATCCCATCGCCCATCCCATCGCCCATCCCATCGCCCATCCCATCGCCCATCCCATCGCCCATCCCATCGCCCATCCCATCGGCCATCACATCGGCCCCATATTCTCATGGTCAACAACATAGATCTACTTGAGATGAGCCTTCCCTCTTGCCCTGCTTTGCTATACGTTTCCATACCATACCATACCACACCACACCATTCCATACCATACCATACCATACCATACCATACCACACCACACCATTCCATACCATACCACACCATACCATACCATACCATACCATACCACACCATTCCATACCATACCATACCCTACCATACCATACCATACCATACCATACCATACCATACCATACCATACCATACCATACCATACCATACCATACCATAACTACACCATACCATACCATACCAAACCATACCATACCATAACATACCATACCATATCATACCATATCATAACATATCATTGCATTCCATACCATACCATACCATACCATACCATACCATACCATACCATACCATACCATACCATACCATACCATACCATACCATACCATACCATTCCATACCATACCATACCATACCATATCATACCATTCCATACCATATCATTCCATTCTATACTATACCATACCATACCATACCATACCATACCATACCATACCATGCCGTGCCATGCCATGCCATACCATACCATACCATACCATACCATACCATACCATACCATACCATACCATACCATACCATACCATACCATACCATATCACACCATAGCATTGCGTCACGGCATGCATGCCTAATGGTGGGTACCCCTAGGAATGTATGTCTAACAAACAAGCATCCAAAATGTCTGATGCAAATGTCCAATACCAGAGCATACCAAAGCATCATGCTTTGGGTTGAGGCGCCTCAAAAAGAAAGCCAATACCAAAGAACATCATAGAAATGTGTCATTGCATGTTCCATGCTCTTGCTTTCACGCTCCCAACAGTTCCCTCTCTCCTTCCTTCCTTCCAAATCTCATTTCAGGTTCGTGAGCGCATCCCGGACCTAACAAGTCAGGTTGCCCAGCTGACATCAGCAAGTCAACAAGCTGACGCCAGCATCACCAGCAAAGATACCTCCTCCCCCTCCTCCTCCCCCTCCTCCTCCCCCTCCTCCTCCCCCTCGTCCTCTCCCTCTTCCTCCCCTCCTCGCGCATACACCGATGAAGGCTCATTGAGCCGACTAGACGATGACTGGGAGGAGTCAAGAGGGGGTGGTGATGCTGATGCTGAATCGGATGGGGATGTTACCATGGATGGTGGTGCTGATGCTGATGTTGATGCCGAAGCATCCACAACTGAGCGTTTGGAGCCTCCCATTGCCATTGTGCACATCAGTGCTCGGTGAGTCTGCTCGTGCATGCAGGGGTGAGTGAAGGAGATGCGAGTATGGATGCTGAAGCAGATAGTGCTCATGCTGATGCATCGACAGCTGAGTGGTTGGAGCCTCCCATTGCCATTGTGCACATCAGCGCACGGTGAGTCTTCGACAGTGATGGTGATGTGACCATGGATGGTGAAGCGGATGAGTCAGTGCTCGGTGAGTCAGTAACAGTGATGGTGATACCCACTCACAATCAGATCCTACCCTTGCTTCTCAGCTTTTGGTGAGTCTGCAGCGGAGGCATTGCTTGATTCCCCTGATCTCAACAGAGATAGAGAGGCCGCTTGTCTTCCTCCCTCACTCACTCAACAGAGCGAGAAGGGAATGTACAGATTCCCCTGTGCGTTCTGGTGCCTCCGCTTGTCTCCCTCCCTCCCTCATTCCCCGTCTGCACGTTCCTTTCTCCCTTTCCCCTTGATTTCACCAGGGACTGAGAGCGTATAGGGGGCCTGCTGGCAGTGGTGCGATAGGCAGTGGAGCCACTCGTCCCTTCCTTCGTTCCCCTCATTCCCCTTCCGAGTGTTTTCCTCTTGCTCCTCGTTCCCCCTCTTCCCTGCCCCCCTTGATTTCACCAGAGATGGAGAGGGCAGAGGGGGCCTGCTGACAGTGGTGCGAGAGGCAAGGGAGGCATTTGTCCCTCCCTTTGTTCCCCTCATACCCCTTCGGAGTGTTCTTATCTCCCTCTCCTCATGCTCTCTTCTCTCCCTTCATCCACCTTTTCCTTCTATTTCACAAGGGATGGGGAGGGCATAGAGAATCTGCTGACGGTGGTGCGAGAGGCAGTGGAGGCGGAGAGGAGGGGGGAGCTGCGGGGAGGGGAGGGGAGGCTGGGGGGAAGGGTGGGGGGGAGAGGAGGGATGGTGAGAAGGAGCAGCAGGGGGGTGCAGGGAGGGGTGGAGAGAGAGAAGGCACCTCAGTGGCAGCTGTGACTGTTTTTAGGGAAGTTGAATCTTGGGATGTTCGAGAAGGTTGTGTTACAGTGCAGGCAAGAGCGGAGCATTGTGTGGAATGATATCACGATATAGGTTGGTGGTGCTTGTTTTTATTGTGATACTATTGACGATTTTCTCTAACCTGCGGACTATGGAGCACTCTCGGTACTAGTTTTTCTCTGAACCCAACCCTGAGCGTCTCAAGATGTCTGCCATGTTGAGCATTCACCAATACCCCATATCTCTCTCATCCTTTCATCGTTCCCATAGAAGTGTATTACCTCTTGCGCATTGAATTGTTTAGTATAATTAACTGTCCAACCGCGATAAGTTGCTAATGTCGAATCTCGCTTACTTCACCATCGTGGGCTGGGCTATTGCCGCGCTGGCTCTTTGTCAGAAAGCCCGAGTCTGACAGGGAGGAGGCATTTGCAAGCTTGGCAATCTGTGTGTCGCCTGCAGTCGTGAACCCCTGAGAGAAACGTGCGACACACGATAGCGGGTCCAGGTCATGCGGCAGCGTGGTCGTTTGGCGCCAACAATCTGGGTTATGGAACTTCGTAGGGGCTCGAAGCTGAACTTTTTGAAAGGTTTGATGGAACTCAAAATACTGTCTGGGCAAGTGAAGAGGCGCAAATGAGCACATAGCCAATCAAAACGCTGCAGTGACGTGTTCCATCAACAAGAAACGGCAGGTTTGTCGGCCATGAAGCACAAGGCGGCTCGAGACTACACCCTGTTTCTCGACCCTCTCACCTTGCGCGATTCGCTGCTACAGTGCGGTCAGGTGCCATAAACCGTATGGCTGAAACCTGCGGGCAAAGCCGCACCAGCTGACGGAGTGGTACTGGGGGCAAAATTTTTCTTTATCGCTGTATACCCTTTTAAACCGCTTTGAAACGCTTAGTTAATGTTCTTTACCATGCAGCATCCTAGCTAACCGCTTTCTTGTGAATGTGCTTGTACCGTCGGTGATAAGACCATTTCAAACGTGGTGACGTTCTACAACCAGCGCATGTTCTGCAACCAGATGCTCTGCTAGCGCGAAACAGGGTGTACCTAAATTTGAGAATACCTGCGCCTTGAAAGCATCATCATGTTCATATCCTTCTTCGGCGAAAAATACAAACTTACTCGCAACACAGTCGAAACTGACATCGACGGCACGAACGAAACTCCGATTCTGACCGCTCTGAATCGCCAACAAGTCGGAACGGACACATCATTTTCGCACATCGCACCCAGGTGGGTAACCTTGCTCACGAATGCCCACCAACCTTCTCTCTCCACATCGAACGACTCTCCACCATCCGCGGGAAGCGATCGGCCCATCTATTCCCTCAACCGCTTCCCTCGTCGCATGATGGCCACCTTCCAACTGCACCTACTTGACTCTGTGGAAATTGTTAAAACGATTTTCAAATCAACATCGCGCCTCGGTATTGTGATGTGTCTGTCGGTCAAGGGAGCTCAGCTCAAAATTTCGTGACCTACCCGCAAACCTTGAGAAGCGGCGTGACGCAGCCACGAATTTCACTTCATGGCAACCACAGGAAATGCCCTTCAGCCACTCAGCTGTGTACCTTGCTTGGATGGTTGATCAGACTGGGCCAATCGTCGCCGAGCCGCCTCACCGCCTTTCACGCCTGCGACAGCACGGCAGCAGCCACTTGGAAATCCCTCGAGGGTTCCAGTGGTTCGTCGTTCTGTTCCGCGAACCAACCGACCGCCCGCACCAGCCAAACACGTCACGTGTGCCCCTCCCATCAGTGCAGGGCTTCTCTTCACACGTCACCTCACCTCACTCAGGGGTTACCCAATCTTCTCCACGGTTTATAACCAGAACCAGCTATCACCGTAATGCACCAGAACTGACCGTGATAGAATTCCTGCTAATCTCTATGTTGAACCCAACTTCTGAGTTTCCATTCCACGTCACACCTCTCCGGAGAGACTGTTCGACCAGCCAAAGCGGTTCCACTGTTCTCCAGTCCACTCAACCTGACTTTTCCCCCGTCAAGCCAAAAGCTCCTGTCTCGGCTTCTCCCAGGCCCGCGCGACCCGAGCCGAGAACACCACACAACAAACATCGTTGTCTCATCGCGATGGCGAGAGTATTTGACCCTGCCGGATCTTTGGACTCTTCACTCTTCGCAGTTTGGTAAATCCGACGCCTTGTAGGTTTAGAGTACGCTTTATCGAGAAGTCACCGTTCGAGATCTATCGACAGCTTATTTCTTGGCCTAGTCGAAATTCTTCTGACACCTGTAAACCTCGCGCGCCTTGATCACCAGAACCTTAGTAGACTTCACCTAGTAGTAATATCTCGTGACCTGTCTAGTCTCGCCTCGCCTAGGCTACCTATTCTGGTTTTCACGAACTCTTACTTCGCTTTGAGCATCTAACGGCTGTAACTTCGAGCATGACGTTCGTCGCATCCAACGCGTCTCAGTCACACCCTCGGACAGTCTCTCTTGACACCTCTCATCATAAGCCTCGGACAATCACACGTACGGTTCGCGATTGGCCCGACAGGACCGGTGACGCTTCTCACCCTCCGTCTCGCGTCCCCGAAGCCCACGCCTGTAGAAACGGGTTCGCCACGTCAGTGCCAGCAAGGACCAGCCATACGCCTGCAAAGAACTCGTCAGCAGTAGACGTTGACGCTGCAAGTACGCGCCGCGTTAGCGATCAGTTTGCAGCAACTCCCGCGTCAGCCGCGGGACGAGTGTCTCAGTCTCAGTTGACTCCGATTACAGATTCCGTTCCTGCTGCAACGATGTCTTGGTTATCCTCGGAAGAAGCGCGTGGTACAGCAGGCTTAGCGCGACACTGGATAGACGCGAGCTCAGAGCCCAGATTCGCATCATATCAGCCTAATACGCACTCGGCCGCGATGCGTTTTTCAGATTTAGCTTGCGGTTCGTTGAAACGCCGGAGAGACGAGAGGCAAGACGGGCTTTCAGAGCTTGCCCAGCGTAAGGAACAGCGATACAGTCGCACGATGAACGGCAAGAGTAACGGCGTTTACGTCTCGTCTGCGGGTGCTGCAGAGCAGGCTCGGCTTCACGGTGCGGCTTTTCTTGAGTCGACTCAGAAATCGGTTTTTCCGGAGCTCCTGCCTGCGGCAGCCGCGGAAGCTGACGTGGCCTTCCCGTCGGGTCCCTCCGGTGTGGTGAGTCCTGTATGGGAGTCGAATACGGGACTCTTAGCAGGCTCTTTACTAGGAGGGTCCTTAACGGGCGCTTTGGCAGACTCGCCGGTTTTATACGAGGAGCGGTTCGTTGATCCGTTATGGAATCACGGACTGACGTTCTCGGTTTATCCGGCAGATTATAACGCGGACGGCAGACTTTTCGGGACGGCGGCTGCAGCAGGCGCGGGAGATGATGCGGGGGAAGACTATAACGGGGATGCGGTGGACGTGCCGCGAATCGACTCATCGGCGCATATCAACGATCTTATAGCGCAGTACTCGCGAGCAGACGTTGTCGCAGCGGCTGACGCGGCGGAAGCGACGGCAGCGGCGACTCTCGTTTTTCCTTCTGACGACGTGTCCGCATCTCGCGGATCCTCGTTCTCGTTCCGCCAGCCGAGATTTGTCGGCCCGTCTGGTTCCTCCAGCGCTGGCGCGTGGTTGGAAAAGTCGGCTGCGCGTTCCGACAGATTCTCACTGTCGGGGCCGCGTTTGGCTTCTGATTCTCGTGATTGGATGGTCGCGGCGCCCTACGACCGCTTTAATCGGCTTCCGGGAGTCGCGGAGGAGGTTGACGAGCCGCGGGAATCAGGGCCCGAGGAAAGTGACACGTGGGAGGTGCTGCGGGCAGGCAAGCGTCTGCGGACGGGCAAGGAAGCGCAGCGGGCAGATTCACGGGCAGACGATACATCGCGGGCAGAGGTCGAGACTCCAGGAGTGAAGGAGACGAAGCGTGCCGCGGAGGGGATCGTAGCGGAAGAGAAGGAGAAGGACCCTGCTGGTGCAACGACAGGTGCTGCAGATGCAGAGACGAGCCTCGTGTCGGGGAGCCTTGCAGCGGGATTGCTCGCTGGTTGGGCCCACGCGACGGCTGTAGCGGAGTTGCCGGCTGCAGCAGACGCTGTTGCTGACTTGCCGGCTGTAGTGCTGGATGCCACTTCGACGCCTTATCACACGCCACACATGACGCCGTATCACACGCCGGAGCGCCAGAATGGCGCTGACGTGGCGGGTCTCCAGCCGGCGCAGAGATTGGCGGGCGCGTGTGCTCCCAACACAGGATCACCTGCTGAGGTGGCGGCTCCAGGGACAGGGATCGCTGGGCTGGGCTCGCTGGAGGACACGTGGCAGGTTTCTAGCAGCACAAAACGTGCCATGAGAGAGTGGCTTGAAACGGTAAAGGGAACGGGGGAAGCAGGGGAAGGGGATGGGGAGGGGGAAGGTGTGGGGGACGAGGGGGAAGGGGAAGACGGAACGGATCCCTTGGATTGGTTGCTTAAGGCGTCTCCTCCGCGCATCCAGGAGGGTGGTTTACCCAGTGAGGGTGTTTTACCCCAGGGTGGTGTTTCAACCCACTGGGGTGTTTTACCCACTTGGGTGCTGGAGGAGCTTGAAGGGGCAGGGGACGGGGAGGGAGCGGAAAAGCAGGACGTTTTTGAGGGCTATACCGAGGAGGCTTTTAGCGAGGATGAGGGTCTGCAGGTGCTGGTGCGAGCCGATTCTCACGAGAGCTCCACTGCTGCCCCATCTGTGTACAGTCCGTGGTCCAGAGTGGTGGAGAGCGGTGTTAGAGCTGCAGAGGAGGGGGAGACACAGGTAGTTAAGAAGCAGCAGCAGGAGGAGGGGAACGGGAAGCAACAGCAGCAGCAGCAGCAGCAGGATGTGCCATCTGCATGGATGAACGGCTGTGATTCAATTGATCTGGGCCTTGAGTATGCAGCAGTGGAGGAGTCGGAAGGAGGAGGTGAGGAAGGGGAGGAGGAAACTGATGTGGCAACTGGAGGAGCTTCTGGGAAGGACTCAGTGTCGCATGCATGGAGGGAGGAGGATGAGCGGGGGGAGGAGGGAGTGGAGGGGGTTGGAGAATCAGCGGCGTTGGGGAGTTTTGATGCAGATGATGCGGCAGATTATGAATCAGATGCTGCTGGTGATGGTGATGGTGATGGTGATGGTGATGGTGATGGTGATGGTGATGGTGATGGTGATGGTGATGGTGATGGTGATGGTGATGGTTCTGAGGATGGTGCAGGGTGTGAACCTGAGGGATTCAGTTTTGATGAGAGCAGTTTTGTTTGAGAGATTGAGGCTCAGCTGTTGGCTTGAGCATCCAGCATTTTTGCAGCAACGAGGTGCTGGGGTGGGGTTGGTCGCTTGCTCCTTCCCCCTCCTCATGCTGCTGCTGCTACTACTCAGTTGCTACTGCCCATTCCGCTCTGACTGATTCCAGTGCAATGGGTGGTGATTGGTGGTGGTGGTGGTGGTGGTGGTGGTGGTGGTGGTGGTGGTGGTGGTGGTGGTGGTGGTGGTGGTGCTTCTGTTGCTGTGCTATTGATCTGCTGATGTGACTCTTGTGGATGTGATACTAATGACTGCTGACTGTAGCAGTTCCTGTAGTCGGTGCGTGGCATGCATAGTTTAATGTTGCAGTATGATTTTTTGGTAGATTCTGTAGGCCAGTCTCGTGTACATAATGTAAAGACCGTTCATTCTTTTTATTTGTTTTCGGAGTGAGAGAACACACTACCCAACCTGAATCATCATGGAAAATGAGGGTTCGGGGGGGTACGGTGCTTGTGAATGTGACAGGTACATGTGATGCACATGCACTACACTGACCAGTAAAAACTAAAACTGAGAAATACAGCAGGTTTCAATCAACTGAGAGATGCTGTAGCGCACCCAGCATCAGTACCATTAAGTGAACATACGGCAGTAATCCCTTCATCTCATTACAGCTACTTCACCATAGTCCACAGTACACAAGTGTACTCTGTTCTCATCATAGATCTAGGATTTGAAGTGTAGTTTGCTGTAACTATTTCTTCTCGTTCTAGTCTAAACCCGCACTGTAGTGCTATTCGCTTCACATCTGCTGCACTTAACTCTATAGATAATTCGTCCGACCCATCAGGGGCTACTGTATCAGCGAAGTGGTACAGTAACGGGCCGAGATTCACCCAAACTCCGCCCGGCCGAAGCAGCTTATAAAGAATCTCGATGTAGGTTACAATGTTGTGTGCTGTATCAATAAAAAAGCACGTTGCTACACTGTCCCATGCACCTGTGGCAGTTCCAGGGAGAGCAAAGATGGCAAGAGGAAGAGAAACGGGAGTATGGGGCATTGGTAGTGTCTGGGGCTTGGTAGTGTCTGGGGCATTGGTAGAGTCTGGGGCATTGGTAGTGTCTGGGGCATCGGTAGTGTATGGGAAGGCAAGAATGGGAGGAAAGATCTTTGGCAGAATTCAGGGGCAAGATAGGGTGGGCTGTATGACCGGGGGACAAAACTGGGAGCCTAGGCAACGCAGGGGGAAAGAAACGTAAGAAATTGCTCAATGTTCCCACATACCACATTCACTCACTGGTACTTACCATGTCACCTAGCCGAGGCCATTGCCGATGGCAGTCCAGGCTTAAACCTCTCAAGTGGATGGCTCCAAGCCTACCTCTTTGCTTCGCATGGTACCTAGTCTAACTCTCTGCTCTGCATGACTCCAAACCTACACTCCAAGCTTACCTTTCAGCTTCGGATGCCCCCAAGCCTACCTCTCTGCTCTGGGTGACTGTAAACCTCCACAAAATCGCCTGCGCACATGGAGAATCCATCGGTGATTCCCGCTAGGCTCGGCACCAGGTCCGGGACAAGCACAGGCCGAAGCTGATCCTCGTCAGTCAGGTTATTCGAGCTGGAGAGGATCCAGGGAAAGATGCAGAACTGCCCAGAAAACTCGGGGTAATTGAGGAGAAAACCCGAGCAGATGAGGATGTAATATGAAAAATCGTTCCCTTGGGTTTCGAATCCCAGGCAAGAAATTTCTAGGGCAAGTCGCCCTAAGCCTGCTCCTGGAACCAGGCAGGTAGGGGTGTGAGGATGGGACGGGTGAAGGGAATCCTGCTGCTGCCCCTGCTGTTCCTGCTGCTGCTTCTGCTGTTCCTGCTGCTGCTTCTGCTGTTCCTGCTGCTGCTTCTGCTGTTCCTGCTGCTGCCCCTGCTGTTCCTGCTGCTGCTTCTGCTGTTCCTGCTGCTTCTCATTCTGCTCTGAAGTTGCTTGTTGTCCTGGGCTGCTGTTCCCATCTGCTTTCCTCAGCTCAGGAAACTTCCTACGAAGCTCCCTCAAGATGGGAGCATAGCACTGTTCTCGCTCTGCCACGCCCTCCGCCGCCCAATCCCGAACTATGTTCCGAAGCACGCACCGAACCTTGTCCACGTCAGCAGGAGGCACGTCCGGAAGATCCCGAGGGAAGGGGAACCAGGGAGGGGGATACACCCGAGGCACATGGGTAAATAACCCAGGTACACCTGGGGATTGTTGACTCGGAGCTGCTGCAGGAGTTACACCCTGAGTTACAACTCGGGTTACATCATGTGAAAGCTCGTGTGACAGATGCTGGGTTGCTGCTGCTGGAACCAATGCAGTTGGCCCTCCTTTCGTGAGCTGCTCTCCTCCCTCACGAGTAGCAGGAATAGAACTGTTGCTACGAGGCGACGTTTGAGTCGACTCAAAAGGCACAGTAGCATTGTCATGCGTGCTGTTCTTCCCCTTTCCTCCACTCCCCTCATCACCGTTTTCAATCAGGTGCTGTTGACCGTCCATCTCCATGGACTCATCCATTACAGGAAGGTTCCTGACAGTTTCTGGCGCAGGTATAAGACCCCTGACTGAGAAATCTTCGTTACACAGCTGCTGCTGCTGCTGCTGCTGTTGCTGCTGTTGTTGCTGCTCGGGGTGGTGCAGCTGCTGATAGTAATGATGCTGGTCAGAGTGTGAGTGAGCATGGGAATGGGCATGGTCATGCGTATGGGTGGGGTCATGCGTATGGGCATGGCTATGTTGACAAGCATCCCCATCATGACCCATGGAAGACTGAGGGGGAGGGAAAGGCGGCTCAAACGCTTGCAGCATTTCTGTGAGAAAGCGGGCATTGTGGGCTATACGCCTGGAGGGAGGGGGGGAGGGGTAGGGGAGGTAAGGAGGGCTGTGAGTGAGGGGGATGCAAAGGCTCAAACGCTTGCTTGCACCATGTCCGTGAGGAAGCGGGCATTGTGGGCAATGCTGGTGCGACTTTTGAGAATTCTCAAAAGTCACACCATTTCCGTGAAGAAGTGGGCATTGTGGGCAATGCTGGTGCGACTTTTGAGAATTCTCAAAAGTCACACCATTTCCGTGAAGAAGCGGGCATTGTGGGCTATGCGCCTGGAGGGAAGAGGGTGAGGAAAAAGAGGGATGAGTTGATGTGCATAAGTATGTTCAGAGTTATGCTGAAAGGGAGACTGGAGTACTTGTTGCAGCATTTCCGTGAAAAAGCGGGAATTGTGTGCAATGCGCCTGGAGGGAGGGTTGGAGGGGGGCGAGGAGGGATAGACTGGCAGAAGCATTATGCTAAGTGGGCAAGCGAGAAGTGAACAGGTAAGACAAAGGATGGGATGGGCGAGAGCATGTTAAAAGAGCGGAATAACGTGGTACTACTGGGGAGACATGGGAATGCATGGATGTGGAATAACAGCACTGGCAGCACTGTGCGCAATGGGAATATGTGCAGCAGCATGCGCCCCCCCTCTCTCCCCCCTCCCCCCGTTGCAGGGATTGTTTTTGAATTCTCAGGGATTTTTTTAGAATTCTAAAAAAAAATCCCTGGATGTGGAATAACGGCACTGGCAGCAATGTGCGCAATGGGAATATGTGCAGCAGCATGTACCCCCCTCTTCCCCCCCTCCCCGCCCCTCCCCCCTCCGTCCCTCCAACCCCGTCTCACTCACAGCAGTCCCTTAGCGACCCGAGCAGCACCGGAGTTCAATCCACTCACATGTCCATGGAGGCATACTTGGCTGGCAGGTGTGACAGGAGCTGGTTTTTGAGATTTCTCAGAAACTGACCTGAGCAGCACCGGAGTTCAATCCACTCACATGTCCATGGAGGTGTATTTGGCTGGAAGGTGCGACAGCAGAGCTTGTGTGACCGGCCCCCTCTCTCCCGTCCCTCCTCCTCCTAACCCCTTTCCTCTCACAGCATCACGCTGGTGACCCAAGCAGCACCAAAAGTGAATCCACTCACATGCGAATGGAGGCATACTTGGCTGGTAGGTGCGACAGCAGAGCCCGTGTGCTTGTCCCCCGCTCCCCCTATCCATAGCGAACCCTTTACTGGCCGGGGCAGAACCACAGGTGAACTCATTTACTCACATGCGAATGGAGGCATACTTGGCTGGCAGGTGCGACAGCAGAGCCTGCAGCACAGCAAACAGAGAGAATCGAGTGTCTCTTTAGACATTAGACACTGAAGCATGGAAATATTGCCATAGGGTGAAATTACCTAAGGAGAGTGTAAGGGGGTGTGAGAAATGCATGAAACTATGGGCAAAGAAGGGAGAGTGAAGGGAGAGTGTCAGGAGCGGTGTGACGGGAGAGCGAGAGAAGTGAGTGAGAAGAGGGAAGACGATGGGGAGGACGAGCGAATGAAAAGGAACACAGCATAAGGCGGAGTGGGAAAGAGAGGCATCAACGAATCCCCACCTGCTGACGTGGCGGCAGCCTGGCATAGGCTCGCTCCCACCGCTGCACTGTCCACTCAGCAGCAAAGGGGTAGCTGCGAAGGGGGGAGTGGAGTGATAAGGAAAGCAGGGAGCAATGTTCTCACATAGAATCAGGCATAGGCTTGCACCCACTGTTGCACCATCCACTCAGCAGCAAAGAGATAGTTGCGAAGGGGGGCAAGATACGCAAAGCAGGGAGAAATGTTCTGACGTAGAATCAGGCATAGGATTGCTTGCTCCCACCGTTGCACCGTCCACTCAGCAGAGCTCAACTCTGTACCCGCAGGATCCAAAATTAATCCCATGACTGGATCTGATTCATAAGATTACTGTACTTCAATGATTGACTCATGAATGCACAGAAAGAAGTCAGATTATAAAATCGCTAAATGGGTAATCGCGGGTGATTGCATCACATGTGCAGGGATTTCATCTCTCCCCTCGCGTCCACTATTCCCATCCTCTCCTGTACCCGTTATTGCAACAGTCACATGATCACTTATTTCATATACGCAGCGATCACGCGGGAAAGGGAGTTTATCTCCTCCTCGGTGTCCAGCTGAATCCACTGATGCACCCGTTATTGCATGCACCAATAGAGGCATCACATAATCACTCACTTCAAATAAGCAGCGATCACGCGGGACAGAGATTTCATCTCTTCCTCTGTGTCCAGTTTCGTACACGTGGCGCCGTCGCCCTCGTCCGCATCCAACGAGACTCCGTCACGTGGATCCGTGATTTCAGCCGCGACATGCGGGAGCGCGTGCGCACCGTCTGCCGTTCCTCCCACACCCGACAGCGGACCTCCCATTTCAGCACTCCCCACAACTCCCGCTGGATTCCTCCTCACTGAATGGTCGCCGTCTGAACCCTCGGGTTCCGCAGTACTCTCCGCGACAGGCATGCCGAAAAAGCTGTACGGCTTGACTAGACTAAAAAATGTCAAATTAAATGCATAGCGCAACGGTTGAATGCCTGGTAGGTACGGTAATGATACTTGCTGGTGAAACTAGTGAACGGGACGGAAAGAAAGGATGAGGAGTGTGGGGTCCTGCAATTGCAGCAGTTTGTAGATTCCTCGTCATTAGGCACTATGATGAATTGTTATTAATTAGTCTGAATGAGCACTTGGATAGAAAAAAATCCATTTGGACAGTAGCGAGCTGGTGATCAACAAGTGTGGCGAGAATTCTGGTTTTCAAACATATGAAAAGTCTAAAAATTCAGTAAAAATGACGCAAAAATAAACAGGGCCCCTAAAATTATGACGGTTTCAAGAGAACTGAAATACCCAAAAGGTGCATTCTATCTCTAGGATATCAAACGGTGGTACATTCAGCGTTATGTGCTTGAGAGGACTACTGAAACGAGAATAACCCGCAAGATTCTCAACAATCGACAACAACGGAACGGCATTCCCCAATCATTTTCGGCATGCTCCATTGGTCATAAAATGGATCAGCATCCGTCACAACCAATCCGAACCAGCCTGACCTTGCTGCCCTGACCCTCTGAGTGGACTACGCCGTTTGCCAGGGCCTGACGCTTCGTGTGGGTAGGAGGACCAGCGGGAAGCATGAGGTCCTGCTCGTTTAATTTCGGTTCGGAACGGTTTTTCAGTGTACAACTCGTTTGTGCTCCATGACCTTCCCCCTTCCACAACCCAATCACTCGCGTCAAAATTCAAGAATAAGTACCGACCGCGCACCACATTTTCTCAAGCTCAGCAGTTTCGATCGCTAATCTTCAATTCCATAACTTCATTTGAACATCATGGCTGCCCTCGCCAACGCTGCCGTGCTCCCCTCCACCTTCGTCGGCCAGAGCGCTGAGCTCGCCGCCAAGGTGAACAATGTCGAGGCCCGCGTTACCATGAGGAAGACCGCTAAGGCCTCCTCCAGCAGCGCGTTCTATGGCCCCGACCGCAACCTGTTCCTGGGCCCCTTCAGCTCCCCCCCGTCGTACCTCACCGGCGAGTACCCCGGCGACTACGGCTGGGACACCGCGGGTCTGTCCGCTGACCCCGAGACCTTCGCCAAGAATCGCGAGCTGGAGGTGATCCACGCCCGGTGGGCTCTTCTCGGTGCGCTCGGCTGCCTCACCCCCGAGCTCCTCGCTGGCAACGGCATGAACTTCGGCGAGGCCGTGTGGTTCAAGGCCGGCGCTCAGATCTTCTCGGAGGGTGGCCTTGACTACCTCGGCAACCCCAGCCTGATCCACGCCCAGTCCATCCTGGCCATCTGGGCCACCCAGGTCATCTTGATGGGTGCCGTTGAGAGCTACCGCGTGGGTGGCCTCGAGGGCTTCCAAGAGGTTGAGGACCCTCTGTACCCCGGCGGTGCCTTCGACCCCCTGGGTCTTGCTGACGATCCCGACGCTCTTGCTGAGCTGAAGGTGAAGGAGCTGAAGAACGGCCGCCTCGCCATGGTGTCCATGTTTGGCTTCTTCGTCCAGGCTATTGTTACCGGAAAGGGTCCCCTTGAGAACCTGTCCGACCACCTGGCTGACCCCAACGTGAACAATGCGTGGGCCTATGCCACCAACTTCACCCCCGGTGCTTAAATTAGTACCTTCTTGTACATTCTATATTAATCAAAATCGAACTTAGTTTTATTGCTTTTACTATCTGCCCAAGCCGCTCAAACCCGAATATCCTCAGTCGTCGATTTTCCCACTCTGGAAGTGGCATGCTTCTTCCACCACTACCCGGCTGCAACGTTATAACGAATTGATAACGGCTGATTTTTTACGTTTCAGAAATGACGCGAGATACAAACCAGAACGAACCGAATGCGCGGGCAAATGGAAAGGAAAGGTGATTAGCGGCGCTGGTCAACACTTACGAGTCAGTCAACGAGGAAAAATGAGTTCCAACTACCCTTCCGTCTGCACCAACATCAGTTCGACTAGTCCATTCATCGCAAAAATCTTGAGCCTGTTGTAGATGGTCTAGCCTACTGACGCACTTTTCTCGATGGTTTCAGAGCGTCATAAATAGTTGTATACATGCTGTGCCAGTTTGTGGGGGCACTTCGGCAATTTTGCGATGCCGATGAACCCTGTTTTGCCAATTGCGTGTTCGAGAAAATCTCTTTGGTTGCTTCGTGGAATGTGCAGGCGCTTGATCGACGGATGAAATTCCAAGCGATTTGAGCAACGGTCAAGATCAAAATTGTGATTCGTGAGATGGTTCGCGGCGCACTGGTTGGGGCATCGTTGCGAGGAGCACGTAAATGACCTGGGGGGTGTGATTTCAATTTTGTTATGTGGCGTTCGATCTTCTCGGATCAACGGCCCACCTTGCAAGCGAGATCTCTTCGGCTCAATCCGAATGCAGCACGTAAACTACCCTCGGATGTATAACTGTTTGTGGTTGCTTTGATCTGACGGTTGCGATGTTCACCGATCACCTTCATATGAGATGTACCGTTATGAGATAACAGGCAGTTTTTCTTTATTTATTTTGTAACGTTTTCCTTGTACTGTTTAATGTGGTATGAACTTACAATTAACGTTACAATTTTAGACGTTGGGAAATTGACCAATAGCCACGCGGTTCGTTTTATGTTATGGCCGTTTACGGTTGATACTCAGGAGCGTCAGTACTTTCTGAAGGTACTGGTTATGATATTTTTTGTGGAAACCGTGCGCTCGAGACTTGGCTCTTAACGACGTTTTAAGTGCGGGCAGGTGAATTTGCATTCCTGACCGTTCCAAATGTGACTTGCGACGCGTCTGTTGCGCGATGGGGTTGGCGAAGTCGCTGTCAGAACATATAGCTTACCTGTTTGTGTAGGCTACAGTGGGGTATCCCATAAGGGGTACAACACAATTAGGTTTCCCATTTGTACCAATTTCTGACTTAGTCATTTCATTCCTGTTTACCTATCATCACATGGTATAGAGCGGGTCCCTCTTAAGGACCGATTTTTTTTGGGCCCACCCTCGATATTCTCTCTGCCCGGAGCGCCCTACTCTCCCCGAGGCGCGCTCCCCCCCTCCCCCTTAGTGCATTTCCCGCTGCCTTTGTGGGCCCCCCGCGAGTAGCGCGCGAAATTTTTTTTTTAGCGCGCGCGGCTCGGGCCCACGTCGCGCGGGCTTTACGGCCGCGCCGCGCCGCCCTCTCGGCCCGGCTGTGCCCCGCCGCCCTCGAATCGGCCACGCGGCCGCTTCGTCGCGGCCGCGGGCCCCGTTTTTGACGGCCCCGCCGTCCCTTTTTTGACGGCCCGCCGCTGCATTCTGCCGGCCCCGCCGTTTCCTGTCACGGCCCCGCCGTCCCCTCTCCCGGCCTCGCCGCTGCACCTTCCCGGCCCGCCGCTGAGCCCTGACGGCCCGCCGCTGCACCTTTTGACGGCCCGCCGCTGCACCTTTTGACGGCCCGCCGCTGCACCCTGACGGCCCGCCGTTGTACCTGCTGACGGCCCGCCGCTGCACCCTGACGGCCCCGCCACTGCACACCCGGCCCCGCCGTCCCCTGTCCCGGCCCGCCACTGCACCTGTCCCGGCCCACCGCTGCACCTGTCCCGGCCCGCCGCTGCACCTTTCCCGGCCCGCCACTGCACCTGTCCCGGCCCCGCCGGCCTCTGTCCAGGCCCCGCCGCTGCACTGCAGCCGGCCCGCCCAGCAGCAGCCGAGCCGCCCAGCAGCAGCCGAGCCGCCCAGCAGCAGCCGGACCGCCCAGCAGCAGCCGGGCCGCCCAGCAGCAGCCGGACCGCCCAGCCGCAGCCGAGCCGCCCAGCAGCAGCCGGACCGCCCAGCAGCGGCCGAGCCGCCCAGCAGCACCCGAGCCGCCCCACAGCTACCGAGCTGACCGGGAGTCGATCCGCCTTTCTGCTGAGCTGCACGACTTGCCCTGCCTGGTGAGCACAGTCCCTCTGTCACTGCGCCCTCTTTCCCTACTGCTTGCACTGCTTCGCTGTCGTCATCATGGCCACCCCTAGTGTCCTAGCCTTTGACGCCGAGGGTCGAGCCATTGATTTTGAGGTCTGGCTAGACGACCTGCAGCTTTTCTTACAGTGCGACAGAGCTGACAGCCTTTCTCTCTTTGACCTCACCACTGGCGCCTCTCCTGCTCCTGCTGCCGATGCTGATCCCACTGTCCGCTCTCAGTGGGCCACCCGCGATGCTGCTGCACGTCTTGCTGTGCGTCGCCACCTCCCTACCTCTGAGCGTGCGCACTTTAGTCAGTACAAGAGTGCTCAGACCTTGTACGACGCTGTAGTTGCGCGCTACTCCTCCCCTGCCACTACTGCACTGAGCCGTCTCATGCTTCCCTACCTCTTTCCTGACCTCTCTGTCTTTCCCACTGTCACTGACCTCATTACGCACCTCCGCACTAGTGACACTCGCTACCGCGCCGCCCTTCCTGCTGAGTTCTGCGCTAAGAACCCCCCCCCCATGTACATCACTCTCTACTACGTAGTCGCGCGCCTCCCTGACTCCCTCCGCGTAGTCAGGGACCACTTTCTCGCAGTCTGTCCCACCACTCTCACCGTCGACCTCCTCGAGAAGGCCCTCCTCGCAGCGGAGAAGAGCATAGTCGCTGTAGGTGCCTCTCGTGGTGACCCTCGCACCCCCATCTTTGAGGGGTGCTCTCCTTCCCCCTTGCTGCCCTCTGTTGCCTCTGCTGCTGCGGCCGACCTGCTTGGTCTTGAGTCGGTCGGCGCGGCGTCTGCCCCTAGTGGGAGACGTCGCTCTAGCAAGGGCAAGGGGGGCAAGGGCGCGGGCGGAGCTGGAGGGGGCGGTGGCGGTGGCGGCGGAGGCGGCGGAGGGAGTGGGGGTGGCGGCGGGAGTAGTGGTGGTGGTGGTGGTGGTGGTGGCAGCAGCGGCGGAGACGGTAGTGGTAGTGCCAGCGGTGGTGGTGGAGGCAGCAGCGGGAGCGGAGGCGGTGGAGGTGGAGGCAGT